TATAATAACGATAAATTGTATCTCTTTTATATTTATATTTAGTCTATGTTTACGTATGTTATACTAATGTTGATTTAGATTAAAATTAAGCCGGGTACGTCACAAGAACGCATCAAAGCTATTAAACGTGAGTTGAACCGAATCTATCTTAAGGAGTTGGTGAAGAAATTTACAGTTGATGAACGTATTAATCTTGTCGAAAAGTGAGTTGTCAGAATTTTTTTGGTTCCTTGTCAGCTCTTACCGAGATTTATCCAAGTTTAAAGTGTAAGTTTGTTTTTTGCTGATCTGATCAGATTAACAGAAATTTGGAATGAGCTGAACCGTGTGAGGAAATTCAAATAAAGTATTGATTTCAGAAGCTTCTTTTGGTGTATCTCGTCTTTTTTGACGCATATTTGACGTCTGAAATTTAAGTAGTATGATTGCTACATTTGTATCAAATAAATTTGAAATATTTTGTTTATATGAATTTTCAAATATTGTTACTGAAATTTCATTCAGTCCTTTTTAGAGAAAGTTGGCGTTGCTATGATCTCACTATTGAATTACTGCGATCAAAAGAAAGAATGGAATGCGTCCGTCACATTTCACATCTTCAAGTATTAAAAGAAGTGGAGCGGAGATTCATAAAAACGGTTGGAAAGCGTCTTTCTGATCGCTGCAAAGAAATGACCGATTATCAAGCTATACAGCATAAGTATTATTTTCTTTTATCATGATCAAGAATGAATTATCTTTTTCAGATGGAGATTTTTTGAAATAGAGCATTCAACTTAAGTTGATGCTGTTGGACTAAGTAATGATTTTTTTTTAACAGGAAGCTGAAATCGGGAAATGTTTTTGTTGACAATGAAAATGGGGAATATATATCTAAGAAGCAGGTAATATTGAGTATTATTCTAATTCGGGAATGATGTGTCTTTCATTCTCATTCTTTTACTTTGTTCCGTGCTAGATTCAGTAGTTCAAGACTTTCCATTCAGAAAATGTGTTTCACTCCTCTATTTGTAATTTGGATATTTTCCACTTTCAAGGAACACACTGTTTATGATTATAATTTAAAATGGAAATTGATATTTTATTCATGTTTTCATTTCTCATAAATTTTTTTGCCTATTTAGTAGAGAAAGCATGATGATTGAAGTATTTTGTTGTTTAATATTAAATTTCATATATTTGTAAAATGAATATTTTCTCTGGAAAATTGAACTTTCACTCTATTTGTTGATTAAATTATAAATGGGGCATAAATCTTTTCAGGATGACGGAGTTAGTAGTGATGAAGATGTAGGTGAGGCGATTGATTTAGACGCTGAACAAAGTCGTCTTCGAAGGCGTCATTTAGATGATGCTGAATATGAGGGAGAAGAAGATGAAAAGAAAGTTGTTCAAGTAAATCAGATATTTCAAATATTCATTTTCATATACTTTTAGGATTTTAAATCTTACAATTCTCATTTTGAGGATGATTCTGTGGAAGATGACTCAGATAGCGAAGAAGAAAATGCTGACTCCCAAAACCAAGATGGAAGCGATGAATATGAACGTGTTACTATTCAAAAATCAGAAGAACCAATTAGTCATCGCATACAGGTGTATACTCATCTCTTTTGTTAAGTGCATGAATCACTGATCTCTTCTCATTGTTTGAATGTAGTCACTAATAAATATAAATTCGATTTGATGATGCAGGTGAAGTATCATTTAGAACTGTGGCAATGTGTGTTTTCAGTGCACATTTTCGTGTTTAGATTTTTTACACTAAGTTTAATTTGATTATGTCTTAGATTGTCATCCGTTAAGTAGGAAAATTACGTTCATAATATTATCTCTCATTTACATTAGTTTAATAGCTCGCATAATTTCTCACTTATGTTTTTCTCTTCTAAAAAAATCATTATTGAAACTACTGTTTGTTTTTAGAGTGTCATTGCATCATCTTCTATAATTAGAGATTACAAGTTTGATCAGAAAAATAATCGATGGTGTGTTATTACTTTCCAGGTTAATTTGCAATTAGTATTATTTTACATATTTGAAGGAATTTTGTAACTTTTTTTCAGTTGCCAGAAGAAAAATATTTGAATCTTTTAATTTTTATCTAACTCACTTTTACATGTCTATTTTTCTTCAGTAGTATTGAATTGTTCACTCATTTAATTTTTTCTGATTTCGCTGACTTTTTACTTATTTCAGTTCCCACTGAGTATTAAAACAAAGTTGGACGTCAGAGCAGTAGTTGAAAGAGAGTTAGAAAATTTTCTAATCTGGGAAACACCGGGTATTGAAAAGTGCATCATTCGTAGTGAAAATAACAAATATGGAGAAAATCAAGTTCTCGCAACACAAGGCATCAATTTGCAGGTACTTTATTTTTATTCAGAGAATATCTTTAAAATGCTGGGAAATCGTTTGAAAAATCCAAATTTTTTTAATTTTGTTTTATTCATCGCTTGTAGATAGGTATACCAACTGTCAGCGACGATTGACACAAGAGTACACCATTTTAAAACAAAAATGATATTTGTATTTAAATGTAATACCTATATGCAGGAGCCTTCCTCGCCGTCTTTCAGTTAATTGCCATTTCACCAAACTTTTTTTTAAAATTCGTATTGTAATTCTTTTGTCTGGGAAATCAGTTGGTTAGCAAATCAACTAGTGAAGACTGTTCGTTTAGTTTCAGTTTTTTATGATTTTCGAATTCTAGGCATTGATGAAACATTCGGATGCGCTTGATGTGAATACACTCTACTCTAATGATCTTGATTTAATATGTAGAAATTATGGCATCGAAGCATGTAATCGAGCTTTGGTAAAAGTAAGTTGTAACTTTTTTAAAGCATGACTAACTTAGTAAGTATATCTGCTATAATTGTTTCATTATGCAACTTTTTTTGATGACCAACATTGTAGTATTTTCATGTGTTTTGGAAATGTTTCGTTATTTTCATTTAAATTGCTTTGTTGATCCCTGATGTTAACTGTTATGGAAATTGTTTCAGCCATATACTACGAATATTTATCTCATTTGTGTTTTATTTCAGGAAATAGTTAGAGTTTTTAAACCGTATGGAATTGATGTAAATCAGCGACATTTGACTCTTACTGCTGATTATATGACTTTTACTGGAAGGATTCAACCTTTTACCCGTGGCGCTATGGGTTTTTCAACTTCTCCTCTTCAACAAATGACATTTGAGACGACAGTCGCATTTATGCGTGATGCCTTGATAAATGGTTCCCACTTTGTTTGTATTGACTCATCGTTTTTCGACACTTTTCGTTTTATTCGAGTCATTTAATAATATTTTAAGAAATAACAGCAGATTTTGTCGCTGGTAACTAGGATTTTAGGTCACGACGATTACTTGGCATCGCCATCGTCTAGATTGGTGATTGGTGGTCTATTACGAAGTGGTACAGGTATTTTTGACCTGATGTCATCTAGAATCCAACTCTAAAACAGCTACAGTTCTTGGAATTCAAAAGTGGGTGATATGTACTTTGACGGCAGGATATCTTTAAACTCTCAATGTGTCGTTTTTTGTCACTATTTTAAGCTGGTAATAGTCTTTTCTGTTGTTTAATTTTCATAATTATTAGTTATCGAAAAGTGACTCTGATTTGTTGTTCGTTTTCAAGGAGGATGAAGTTTTGCCGCCAATCGTTCTCAAACTTATTGATAAGAATTAATTTGATTCGTTTGTGATCACCTAATGTTCTTAAAAACATCAATGCATCGTAAAGGAATGGCGATAGGAAACTTTGAATTGTATCGAAGTTAGTAGCTGTGTTTAAATGTTAAATGAAACTGCATTTGCTCAGATTCGCATTTTGCATCATCATCGACTAAATAAAGTGTTGTTCACTTGGTCACGCCATTTTAATTTTATTTTTCACATTTTACAATTTTAGTAATAGATCATGATTATAACATAGTCCCTTACTGAAAAAGTTGGAACCAAATGATATCAAGAATTAAGAAAAATGTTTAGTGAGAATCAGAAAGCAGACAACAAAAGGGATTGATCAAGTCAAATTTTTCTCCTAAAGGGAAGCAAATTGTTTTTTGAATTCTTGATCCATTACATTTCCATCAAGAGACGAAGCTTTCTTGGGAGGTCTTGTATCTGGTATTGCTTCACTGATAGCCGGTAAAGCTAAAAAGTATAAACAGTATCTGTACTTTTTGCAAAATCATAGCAATGCTGACCAAATAATGGCTGGAAAAATTAAGGCATGAGAAACAAAGAAAAGTGAATAAGTCATTCATATAAGTCTAGTTCGATCAACTTACAAACTGTTGAGTCGAGAAGAAGTGTGTCTGAGTAAGGACCAATCGTGGAACCACACGTTGCAAATTGTCCAGAACTTTCTGGTACCTCTTCGTTGCCTTCTGATTAAAAAATTGAGAATAAAGATATCGTCAGTTTTGTGGAACTCATATCCTTTCTACTAATATTACAAATAACCCACTCTCTTGTCGTGACTATCATATTAATATCGGTTTCGTTCAGTAATGTCGGGTGCTTACCAATTATGTGTCACTTTCATTACAGTACTTGATTGAAACTTCAGTCAAAATAATGAGGATGAAATGAAAATTAGAAGAATAAAAAAATAGAAGTGCAAGGAGGTGATATTGCATTTCTCATATAAAACAAAAGAATGATTAAGATATGGTGCTATTTCTGGAACATATAAAATTTAAACCAAGCTTTTCTATACCTCCCAACTGGAAAACTTTTTGTGTTACATAGGGTGGAGACACCAACGTCTTACTAAGGAAATAAGAAAAGTAAACGAATGTAATTAACACACAAATTGACTTCAGGTTTGACTGTGAAATGACTGTGAATTTTCAAAAGTTAATGTTTATGTGTTCGTTACTCGAATTTAGATATACTTAGCACAGTTACTGCGACAAGTTTTTACTACTGAGTTTTGTTAATCATACGATAACTAAATCATTGAGAAACAAGAAAAAAGTACCGCTCATGGCAAAGCTATCTGCTAAAGCTCGAACTGATTCCACAACTTTCTTATCATTGTTTTGGTCATTGTCTTCTCTGACTTCTAAGGAATTCCTTATCGCTGATCTAACTGTTTTGGTTTTTGTTTCGATTACCTATAATAAATGAACATTACGGCCTACAAAGTGCTAGTGCGAAATCCATTTTAAACATTGATACGCTACTTAATTTGAAAAGAATCAGTATCTTTAAATATCAGCAAATACCTCACTCTTCCCTCTTTTCCGCCTTCTACTATACACTGCCTTGGGCTTCTAAAATTCAAAATTATTATCGATTATATAAGTGTAGGCACAGAAGTTAAATGATGCATAAAAAGTGAAAGAAAAAAATGTAGCTCATATCTGCAGTACGATACCGTGTCTTCTTGTGGTGTGTTATCCAGGGATTTACTCGCAACCTACTGTTCCGCCCAAAAAACTTAGTATTGTAACTTTAAAGTTTAGAAATTTTTACAATACTAAGTTCTTTCTTGAACTATATTTGGGCATGCAATGATAACAGGAATTTCTTTATATCTTTTTCTCAGGTTCTGTTAAGTAAGCCACAACTACAGCATTCCATGCAAAAATCTGCTTGTATAAAAATACGAACAACTTGTGGCTGATGAGGAATTTTGCGTTTTTCACCATCGTGTTCTTCACCATGTTTTCCACCATCATGTTTTTCACCATTATAATTTTCACTATCATGGTTTTCAGCATTATGGTTTTCACTATCATGGTTTTCACCATCATGGTTTCGACCATCATAGTTTTCACCATCATGGTTTCCACCATCATGGTTTTCACCATCATGGTTTTCACCATCATGGTTTTCACAACCATCGTTTTCACCATCATGGTTTTCACCATCATGGTTTCCACCATCATGATTTTCACCATCATGGTTTTCACAACCATGGTTTTCACCATCATGTTTTGCACGATCACATTCCTCACCAGAAGTATGCAGACCACCCATGCTTTCAAAAAATATAGTTTCCATATTTACGGAGCATCTGTAAAAACTGGAGTGAAAATTCTGAGCTCATAGTAATAATGTGGTTTAATCTAAACAATACATTACGTTCCAGCCAAAATCTGTTTATCCTATTTTTCAGTTTATAATGTTAATATGTTGATTTTTTAACGTAATATGAAATTTAAATATGATTTTACATTGTTTTTTTTTGTAGATATGTAAACAAAGCAGCGTTATAATAGTGCATAAATCTATCATGTACAGTTTCCAAGTGTTCAGTGTGAAAAACTGGGGCTAAATTTCTCTAAAACTGGGGCTAAATTTATATAAACACATTTCTCTGTTCCTAGTTTTTTCACAGTCAAGTTTGACAAAATATTTGCCCATCAAATCGAGTATTTAAAGAGCCGAATGATATTTTTGATGTTGGAATCGCGTCATTAAAGCGATAAATAAATGATGCTGGCCCGAAACCATCTGGTTCATAACTGCGTGGTGTCTCTGAAAGTTTTTTCTAACACTTGAAATTTAGAATTTTAAAACATTCCAAATCGTAATTAATAACGATCTTTCATTAATATTTTTGGATGACATCTTAATAAAACATATATCTACTTTACAATTAGTACCATCAGCGGCCATAACTTTACTAAGCAATCAGAAAGATACAAAAAACATGGGAGTGAAGCGGATATGAGCAACTGCAATGATTTGTAACAAAAAATTAACTCCTTATTCACAACGAAAAAATACCAAACCGCCAGTCACTGTGCCATGAAAAATTATTGATTGATATTAAATGTTCAAAGTTATTTACAGAAGCAAGTTTGAAATCCTGTTTTGGAACACACGAACCTGGATAATAAGTAAGCTTCAAATATGGATAAGCACTTTTTGGAAGTGTTTGGAGCGTGCTCATCATAATATCCAGATAATGGAATAAATCGAACACCTGTTTTTGTAGTTGTTTCATATTTTTACAGGACAAATCAATCTCGTGCGCTACACTACAATCATAACAATATTTGGATAGTCACCGTATTCGAGAAGATCTCTGCGTCATTAAGAACATACGTATTATGTGAGTGAGTGCAAAGAAGACATGCTGGGTAGTTCGTTATAATAAAAAGCTTATTTCCTACCAACAATATAAATGCAGAAAATTGGGACTGCAGACTTTCAAGTGTCTTCAGAACTTTGCATACTCAAAAAGCAAGAAAATCACAGAAAGCAAAGAATGCCAAAGCTTGCATTTCGGATATAACTTGAATATAAAAAGGTCAATTTATTTTATAGTACTGAAGTTAATCTCAACGAACAGCTCATTCAGGCATGCATTAATTAATGACCATAAAAGAAAGTGAAAATGTATCAGTTTACCTGTGAACACGAAGTCTACCATAGTCACTGTAAACAAAAGAAAGCGAATACACTTCAATCACTTCATCTCTGTTATCCGCTTCTTCGTCTGATATCAAAATGAATAAATCACGCAGCTGCAAAAGATGCAATATATAATTCTAATCTTGGTTAAAAATTTTCGTACAAATAAACAGCACAAGTCACTTATAAGCCAATTTTATTGGAATTGTGTCATTGCAAGAGTCGAGAAAAAACTTTATTTGTGACATTAATTTATCCCTTCCTGAAAATTTTCTAACGAACATAAACTATTCAAGAACGATATATTCTTTTAATTAATTCACGCCTGAATTGATTTTGAATAACAGTTGCATCACTTAGTGTACATATACTCAACTACAGTTGTGAGATTAATTAGATACCACAATGGTTACATATTGCTTTTCAATGGCGTCCGATATGGAGAAAACAAGACGGAACAACTTCCTGCCAAGATCAGTTTCTTCATCAGCAATACAGCATTGCAAACCTTGAAAGCCAAAAATAAACTACACGCAAATAAAAACTGAACGCTCTGATTAGCATATCTCAAACAAGTAGCAATCAAATCCTATTCTAAATTTATTTTACTAGTCTATTTTGCACATTCTGAGCAACAAATTTATTTCCTACAAAAAGCATCAACTTCACCATCAATGATGACATTTCTGAAATATTTAATAGGAAGAAGTTTGCGTTTGCTGATTATTTTCGACATGACAAGAAGCAAAATTCTTTTCATGAAGAGCGTTGAGTATGCTTCATCATTCAATGATCGTGGAAAAAGCTGCATTTCTTTTATCTCCTCTACAATAAATTGGAGTAGAGTGAATATATGAAAGATTTTTTACCGTCAAAATCACAAGTATGAAGTTATATTTCCACAAATAGTAGTTCCACAAAAATCATATTTCATATGTAAAAAAGAATAACTACTGAAACCAGCATTTTTTAAAACAAAACACTTCACATAGATCTCATATAATAATATTTCAGAGAGCACACAAAATTTTCTGTGGAAATTGTATCAAAGTCCAAAGTGTTTGAAACCTGTAACATAAAGAGATACAATGAACATGCAATGCCAAATTCATGAAGAAAAATCCAGCTTTCTCTTTTGTTTCAATAAACATACACGAATTTACTAAAAAGAATCTCTGCATGTTCAATGCTTCAAGCACTTAATTTCTTACAAACGAGAACATAGAAGGAACAATAGTAAACTAACATAAGGTTTGAATCTCGAAAAGATGCTAATTTTATTGAAAACTAAAAAATATTTAAAAAGTAAAAAAGAACTGCAGTTGCAAATCATTGTCTCTTAAATAAGTATTGGTACTTTGCAAATAAATGCTGATTCCAGTGTTTTGATAGTTTTGGTATTATAGCATTTAAAGCGAGAGCATTATTAGGTAAAAAAAGTGCAGCTCTGCAATAGCAAGTTTTGCTACGTAAGGCAAAGTAAACCACTTTTCAGTCTGATTAAGAACTTGCCACAAACTCTTTTTGTTCAGTTCATTACGTATAGGTGATTCCTCATGTGAGAAATCTTACCACAACACGCCGTCCTCTTGTAACAATTTTGCGCTTTCGATTGCAAAATGATGCAAGTGTTCCGGAGTACTTTTTCATTTTACACTGGATGTTAGAATATACTGCTTTAACTGTATTAATTGCGTGCAAAATTTAAAAGCTATGAATAGTTATAAGTTTCAAAAGAAAAAATTTTTGATATAAAAAACGGAAGAGCAGCAGGGTGCAGTGAATTGTAATTCGCTGCAAAAAGTGACAAAACCATTTCATATCACTTTCTGATTTCAAATTTGTTAAAATTGATACTTTTCCCGATAATCTACTATTGTATTCAACTTTACCCAATGGCAAGCGATATAATGTCACTCAAAAGACAAAATGCTTGAATCAGAATGGAGATGGATGAAAATAATATTTGCAACGTGTTGATCTACATAAAATGCATAGCATAAATCCTGGATTCAATTACGCTAACGTATAAAATGTAGTGAAGGTTTCACCAAAATTGAAAAATACTTATGTGCTTTCAGTATTTATATTATTAATAAAATCATAATATTTGCAAATAATTTATTCCAGTATCAGTTCATGATTGAATTCCAAGGCATTAGCAGCATTGAAAAAAGGAAGCGCACATTGTTTTTCCATAATCACAATATGAAGAAGTTATTACGTTTATACGTTACAAATACATATACACGCACATGTACGCTTACTCACAAATGAATTAGAATGGAAAAAAGGAGGCAGGAATATGAATAAATAAACGCCAAGAGAAGTAAACGAGTAAATAAAGATGGAAATTACTAGACAAAACAGTAAGCATGATAACAAACCAATTAACATATAGATGAAAATTAGTTTTACCAATAATACTAGAAAGTTAATTAATGACAAATAAGGAAATAGAATGGATTTGTTAATTTCTCTAGAAAGTAAAGCGATGCACGTGAACTTGAAGAATTTTGCAGTTTGAAATAAACTTTTAAGAACGTTGTCATTGAGGGTGTTGTGATTGAAACTTAGTAAACTTAAACAACAGTTAAAATTATTAACTTATCAAACTAAAATTTTACTTGTGCTCACTTAAATGCTTTCGTGATATATAACCTGTTTTACTATATACTATTATTGTTGTTCACAATACAGGTAACTTCTTAAGAGATATTTGGTTTTTTCTTACCCCAGCAATTTATTTCATTCACACAGCTATCGATGATAATAAAATCACCTGGAATAGATAGCATTACATGTCTATCAACTAATTTATCACTACTGTCTAGACAATTAGTTGTTAGTTATTAACAAAGTCTAATAAAAAATTGGTAATATTATGACATATGTGCCAGCAACAACCTTCCACAAGAAAGGAAAAAGATAACAATGTCACGTACTGATATCTCCTTCTCAGACGGAGAAAAAGATGCATGCGAAATTTACATATCGATTTAACAAAACGAAAACAAAATTGGCAGAAAGTCATAATTTCCTCTTTTATGTAATGTAGGCCTTTCCGAGCACTATAATAATTGTAGCCAATCAAAATATGCGTAAAACATACTGTAGAATTTTATGCGCTAAAAGTTAAAATATTTTCATGAGATATAAAAAACGTCATATCGGTCGATAGTACAATTATTAGTGTATTTCTCTTTAAAGAGGACTGATTTCGCAATACTTAATTTCAGACTGCATCCAACAATAACAATCGAGCAACTCACCTTACCTATTTAAAGAGATATTGATATCTCTTTAAAAATTATGAATTGAATATTCAATTCAA